TGATCCCCACACCGCACCACTACCTCCTCAGCGTCTACCGCCACAAGATCTTCTTCGTGGCTGTTATCCAGAGCGAGGTGCCGCCTCTCTTCGTCATCGAATTCCTGCACCGCGTCGTCGATACCTTCCAGGTACGGCTGGCCGAGCGGGGGGAGCGCCGGCGGGGTGAGGGGTGCGCGGAGTGGCTATCTGCTTCTGCTTTGGCTGAAGTGAATTGATGTGTGCAGAGGAGGGTAGGAGAGGAAGAACCTCAGGTTGCTGCCGTGTTGTAAAGGAGAACGGGGCGGGGGTGAGAAAAGGGAGCCCTTCAAGTTAGCAGCAGTTAGTTTACTCTTTTTCCTATTTCTTAATTCTCATTCTGCACCTGCGAGGATCTAGAGTGGGCCTTGAGGGCTTGCGGTGGTTGGGAATGTACTGCCCAGGGTGATGATGGATTCGAGATCAGCCTATGCTCACAGGAAGGACCTTTCAGCAATCAATATTTATATTTCTGTTTTGCAGCCTTCTCTATTCTAGGAGCTGTGAACTAAGAGCAAGCTGGCCTTGTTCTCACAAGAAGTTTTTGCAATTCATAGCCGTGTGCTTTAGTCGATCAGCGTCAGCCTACCTGTGTGCTTGCATCCGGTGATATTTCTTAGAAGCGTTTGCTTCCTAAAGAAGAGAGTCACAGGAGTTGTCCCAGAGCAGCCATATTCCCTCTGCACTATGACTGACATAACTGCTGGTCAGCTTAGGGAAATAGTGCAGAATGTCTGTCTTCTCCTGCCAACAACAGGATTGTATAGTCTGGATTTGAAATGCCTTGTGACCAGCATCCTACCAGAATACAGGAAATATGGGTGCTTGGTCAAACAAGTATCATGTGAGCTTTTGCTTCCAGGTGCCAATCAATGTGAGCGTGGGCAGAGTTATGTTTCGCTGAGTTCAGGGAATAGATTGGCTGTTCAGGCCAAAAATGTACGATGTCAGTTGCTTAGGTCTTATTTTTGGTGAGGGGACAAGGCATTGAGTGTGTCTTCACTGTATTGGCTGTATGTTAAAATCTGATATGTCTGAAAAAGAAATAGCGTTTGTAGTGCAGGACTAGGAATTCTCTAGCGTCACAGTTTGTGTATACCCGTGATTTGTGCAGAATGCCTGATCTCTTTAATTGATACAAATAACTAGAAGCTCAGGTTTGTGTTTGTGTGCGCACACTTGCCCTCTCACCAGAAAGATACCTGAAGTCCCCATAGAATAAAACTGAGTAAATTAAATGTTCAGTTTCAAAAATTGCTGAATTATGGGGACTACTTCCTATAACATATGCTGAATCTTGAAAGATTTCCCACTTTGTTTTATATGCCTACATTGTGTTACAGATTTACAATTTGACTTGGTATATTTTTACTGCAAACTTTAATATTGCTAATTACTGTTTTGGAGTAGGGGCTGAAGAAACAGCAGAGGAATCAAGCTGGGGAATAAACTGGTCTGTGGATCTCTTATGATTCATGTTCTCAGGTTCTGCTTTATACTCCTTATTAAATCATGAGGAAGGAGGGTTTTATTACATGGATAGAATTATTTTTCAGACTTTTCAGAATACTAGACTTCTGTTATTAGTCTCATACATCTAAGGATGTGTAAGCAGTCTGTACATGCCAAGCAGTATTAGAATGAAAAAACACAGGTCGTGTGTTAGACTTCAGAAATGTTCTTCTATAAAACAAACATGGACTTAGGCAGAATATGCAGAGAGTTTGAAGCTGTGCTTTCCCTATATTCCACATCAAAATAAATTTTAAAAAAATTGAAGTTAACAACTGTATTACTGCCTATATGTATGCAAGCATTATAACAAAACTAAAGGAAAACCTTTGATGAGGAGAGCTTGAATTCCTTAAACAGCAGTGCTACAGTTAAAATGTTGAGAGTACCCTAGGTAAAGACTAGGGCAGCTGAGGAACGATATATAGTACTGGAGCCTAATGAAAGGGCATCACTGCACAGAAGTCAGTGGTGGCTGTGGGAAGTAAGTTTTTCTTTATTAATATTGCTGCTTAATCGGTTGCAACTGAGCCACTTGCTGCTTAATTGGTTGCAATTGAGCCACTTTCAAGTGCTAATTAAAAAAATCTCTTAGCTATCAAAGGAAACCCTCTTACATGGAAAGGAAATAAGAGCATACGGTGAGGTGGTGATTTGCCAGCTTGCTGGGGCAGTGGCAGAGGTATGCTCAGAGTTTTGCGTGTCTCTTGGAGTGGTCAGTCTGTCTGATGTGCTTGTACACATGGAGTTTCAGTGTTTCACCTCCTCAAAGAAGAGGCTGGATTTATTTCTGTGTGGGAGGACACTGAACTGAATGATCACTAAGACTCTTTCAGAGACTGAGTAATTATTTCTTTTGCACAGGATTATTTTGGTGTCTGTTCAGAGGTGATGATCAAGGACAATGTTGTGGTTGTTTATGAGGTGCTGGAGGAGATGCTGGACAATGGCTTTCCATTGGCAACAGAGTCTAATATTCTTAAGGAACTGATAAAACCTCCCACTATCCTGCGAACAGTTGTCAACACCATCACAGGTACTGGGGAGGCTGTTTGGCAATATTCCTGCATAAGTAAATTAGGACATGGGTGAAGAAAATTTATGTTGTCCCATACCATTCTGAACTGCAACATAGGCACATTTAGGGGGTCCTGTGTTAGTGCGTTGCTTTGAGGTTCCTTCTAGTTCCAGCACCAGCTGCACTTTTTTTTTTTTTTAAAACCAAAAGAGATTACATTTCCAGTTACAGCCATAACATGACTTCCTGGATGAGGTAGTTTGGTGTGGGTTTTTTGTTGGGGTGGCTTTTTGTTTTGCTCTTTAGTTACACTTCTCCATGCCTTATTGTGGTATATTTTGATGCATGTAAGAGTTGGATGTAAGAGAGATGTAAATTGTAGAATACAAACACTGAGTCTGGAAGAGTAATTGCTTTCCTACAAAGAGACAGAGGTTCTCAGGGATTAATTACAATTAAGTTATATGAGGGCCAAGGACTTGTTCTGGAGCATTGTCTAACTTTGGTGGTGGTTGTGATTTCCTTTCTTTTTCCAGGAAGCACTAATGTGGGTGACCAGCTTCCTACTGGACAGCTATCAGTGGTGCCTTGGAGACGTACTGGTGTAAAATATACCAACAATGAGGCATATTTTGATGTGGTTGAGGAGATAGATGCAATCATTGACAAATCAGGTATGGAAATTGCTTCTGGCTAAGGTGGCAGTAACTTGTCCTGATAGTGCCTGAAGAGAGATGTAGGTTTTCAAAGAGGAGGTCCTTCATCTAAGTGTGGGAAGCTCTGTTCCTATTGTTACTCTGGAACGTTGCCAACTTGTAGATGCTATTCAGTCAAAAATTTTAGAGAGGTACCAAGGTTTTCACTTGTCCTTGTTCCTGAGGTCTTGTAAGCAATTCTATATTGGGAAAACAGAAGGTGAGTGAAAATTGTGCTATGCACAAATCTACTTAGTTTTTGTGCATCTTAGTTAGACTCGGGAGCTACTGTCATTGGCCATTAAAATAGATATTGCTAGTGTCAGTGGTTCTTATTTGTATGCATCTTCTCTAGAAGTTGTTGTGAATGAGAAAAATGTTGAGTGGGCCATGACATTTCATAAAGATAATAAATTTCCTTCCTCCTCATTGATAGTTTTTCCACATTGGGATTTTTTTATCAGGTTTTCATAATCTCCCATATTTACTTTATTGTTGCAGGTTCCACGATTACTGCTGAAATCCAAGGGGTGATTGATGCTTGTGTCAAGCTGACTGGGATGCCAGACCTTACCCTCTCCTTTATGGTAAGGCTCAAGGATGCATCTTTACTTAAGTATTTTGGAAGGAGTTCCCCAGCCCTGCTACTAGGTTCTCAGTCTCATGCTGGTGGATGCCAGTAGATCAGAACCTGGGTATGCCAAACAATAAGAGGAAGAACTGACAATGGAAAGTCATAGTGTGAACTTCAGCAACTTTGAGCCTAAAGTTTCATTTTCAGATTCTTTGTTAAAAGTACTGTTACTGTGTGCTGTGACTAAGTTTCTGAGATACAGTGGTGTTTTAGGCAGATATCCTAAAAGGCCATCTTTTTTTTATGAGTATGCATCAGTGTAATTTGACATGACTAAATATTCTAAAATAGGATGGAGATTATTGAGTACTGCTATTGCACAGATGTAACAGCATCAAATAACACGTCTGAATGTTGATACCTTCAAGTGGGCACAGTGCATCAAATGGTAGGCCCTTCATGGACAGAGGATTGAGAAGAAGAAGAGGTTAAGTAGTACTGCCTTTCACTAACCTTGTGACTTTCTTTTATTTCAGAACCCTCGATTATTGGATGATGTCAGCTTTCATCCGTGTGTGCGTTTTAAGCGCTGGGAGTCAGAGAGAATACTCTCCTTCATTCCACCTGATGGAAACTTTCGCCTGCTGTCTTACCATGTCAGTGCTCAGAAGTAGGTGATGAATGTAGTGCTGTGAATTACAAAATTTGGATCTTCCTGGCTAGGGGCAAAAAAAAAAAAAGGAATTGCTTTTAAAGATCAGGTGGCATGTTGTGCCAAATGAAGTAGAGGTGTATGGTAACTTGCACTTTTTCCTTTTTTAAAACACGTTTTCTCCTTGTTTGGAGCAGTGATTCTGTCATTTCTTTTTGGTCAGCCAGCATTTTTTAAAGACTAGTAGCAGATGAACAAATTAGATTTTTTTAAAGAGTTAGGCAGTATGGAATAATCAAGCTGTTGATTTCCTATGTTTATAAAAAACTTCTAGAATAATACAAGATAGTTTGGTAATCTTGTTGTTTTTCTGACATTGCTCTTAATAGAACTACAAGTTCTTGTCTACGGTTTGCACTCTTTTCTAGAAGCAGCTTACCAAGTACTAATTGGGATTACAGATGCTAAAGCATTTTGTTAGACTTTGTCAGACTTAAGTAGGTGAAAAGGAGTGGGAAATCCAACCAGAAGCACAAACCTGAAGTTCAAGTGCTGCTGCACTGCTTGGAACTACTTGCCAACTTGGTTGTGACATGCAAAAACATTCCTTATCCTTTGCTCACATCTCCTGTTATAGTGGATGTAGTTACCTGTCCTGTAGAGAAGTGGAAAACTAAGACACAGCAAGCTTGATTTAAAAAAGTGTAATTAAGACTTGAGAACAGGATTCTGACTTTGCTCTTAGATCAAACATATGAGTGTAGGATTTCCTTCTCTATTAAGGAGATTGGTCTTCAGTGTAGAAGTCAAGGACTGCAGGAAAAGCAAAGATGAAAGCGAGAGATTGACAAGGACTTCCTGTTCATGTCTTTATTCTAGTCTTGTGGCAATTCCTGTCTACGTTAAACACAACATCAGTTTCCGTGATAGCAGCTCACTGGGGCGTTTTGAGATCACAGTGGGGCCGAAGCAGACTATGGGGAAGACTGTAGAGGGAGTGATGGTCACTAGCCAGATGCCAAAAGGTGTCTTAAATATGACCCTCACACCCTCTCAGGGAACACATGTCTTCGATCCGGTTACAAAGGTGAGAGGAAAGAGAGAAATTAGAAATTTTTTTAATTGTGGGGGTTTTTTTACCTTTCAGCAAATAAAGTTGAGCTGTTCATGCTTACATGACTATTTCCTTGAACATTGCTTTTCTGAAGGCAGTATTTTTTCTTGGGGTGAGAACTTTCTCTGGACAACTGCATAGTAGAAGTTGTCTTAATCCCTACAATGAATAGCTCAGTGTTTGAGTGGATTGTAGTTCTGGCTGCTTGTTGTGTGCAGAAAATCCAAGAACTGGTATTGTATGATGAGGCATTAGTCTGGTGGATGCTTTACAAACTTCTGCATATCTAGTACTGCAAGTTAGACTTGGTTTGTTGCAAACGCTGAAGATTGGGGTTGGTTAGTGGGTTTTGATTTGTTTTGGGATGTTCTGGTTTTGTTATTTGATTCTGCATGCCCTCCCCCCAAGCAACACTACCTCAGCTGCTTGGAAAGGAGGCAATTCTGCATTATTTTTGTCATTGTTACACATGGGAAATGGGTCCTGTAGCACAAGTAGTGGAAATACATTCATGGGAGGCTTTTGGGGAACCTCATGGAAAGAGAGAGGGAGGACAAAGGTCCGAGGCAGCTGCTCCTTAACCCTGTGCTGTCTGTCCAATATGAAAGGCAAGATACTAAGACAAAGACATTTTCAATAAAGAAACATTAAAAGCTGTCATTGGAAAGGGACTCTTCTTTAGAGGGTGTTAGTGCATTTCTGTTTCACTGCGGCATTTTCTGTTCCTTGAAGTTGCTGTCGTGGGATGTGGGGAAAATAAACCCCCAGAAGCTGCCAAGCCTGAAAGGAAGCATGAGCCTGCAAGCTGGGACATCAAAACCAGATGAAAACCCCACCATTAACCTGCAGTTTAAAATTCAGCAGCTGGCTATATCTGGTAAGTGACTGTCAGGTAAAGAAGCTGAATATTCTCTGCTGTGTCAGTGCTCTCTCTGCATGTAGCTGAAGTGGCTCTGCAGGCCTTCTGAAGTACATTCTATCTGAAACATATTCTTCAAGTAAAAAAAATCATGTGCTTTGGCTACAGATACCTGGATTTTTCTTTGATGCTCTGTGAAACAGCCTATGTACATTTCCTTGCAATTCGTGCTTACAGACCCATAAAGAATTTTAGGGTATGGATGTGTTTGTATAGAATGATTCTGACAATTAGCAGTTGTCAGCTTTCTCAGTTCTGTTCACTGCTTGCTAAAACTATGCTTTCTACACCTCTAGTATGATCTTCTGTTCCTTTATCCTGAAGGATTGTTTGTGGCAGCAGTCAGTCTTATGCTGTGTTTGTTTGCCTTTAGGACTGAAGGTGAATCGCTTGGACATGTATGGGGAGAAGTACAAGCCCTTCAAGGGGATAAAATACATGACTAAGGCTGGCAAGTTCCAAGTCCGAACCTAGAGGATCCTGATAGTGAGGAAGAGCATTTTCCTATTTCTCCTGTCCCTGGCTGTTGGATGCCCCATCCATCTGTTTAGGGTTGCTCCCTTGCCTGTAGTAGCATGAGCAGGAGAGCCAGAGCTTAGGGTGCTGGGGAGCAGGGGAAAGTAAGATTGACCTGAAACCATCTCATCCTTAGCTGAGTCTGAACAATGGCAGATAGGAGAGGTGTTCAGGTCTGTTGGGATTAGTGAGTCAGCTATGTAAGCTTGTATCACTTTCATTTTGCTGTCCTAAAGGAAATTCTAGGGATTTATTGCCTTTTCTGACTCTTCTTCCTTATATTTTGGTTGGTTTTAATCCCTTTGTAGATGATACAAAGTTGAATTTCCACAAACTTCAACTCCAGCGTGATGGTCTGGCATCTGCCCTTCTCCATCACTGGGTGTTAGGGTGGAGAGCTGTATGATTCTTGGCAGCAAAGAGATCATCTAGCCATTCTGCCTCAAAGGGACTGGAAGAACTGGAAAGGTAGATTGTCCCACTCAGGATGGGATGTTTGGGCGTTAAGAAGCTTGAGATTGGGGATGGTGCCACAGAGGGAGGAAGGGAAGAAGTAGATGCTTTTTCTAGATATTTCATAAGCCATCTTAGTCATTAAGTATCTTTAATATCTTGAGACATCCAAATCTTAGTGTGTTACCCTGTGAAGGGCTGACTGTAGCACATGTGATCTTGCAAATGATGGGTGGTGACATCTGAATGTAATTCTGCTTATCTTCTTAATTCGTCAGTATTTGAGGGTAGGGATTCTCCTAGATTCTTTGGGGAGTCAGGGAAGAGACAGAGAGGCAGTAGAATTTTTGTGGACTCTGATGGAAACTGAAGACTATCACTATCCTAATAACTGGTTGGAACCTCTTTTTGTCTCTGCCTGCCTGTTAGAAATGAAGGTGATACTGCTGTTCTCCTGCTCGCTGATGTCCTTCTTTGAGATAATTGTGTCCTGGTACCTCTGTAGTGTTTCTGGCTGTCCTACCTCATTCCAGTTCCTGTACCAATCAGCTGCTGTGCAGGTGGATTCAAGCCTACGCTGGATTTTTCACTGGGACCATCTGTTCTGCAGGAGCTGTTGCTGCATCTGCTCATTCCAGTCTGTGCTATGTCTCTCTGTACAGCATAAATATGAAATGAGAGGCATCTGCACTGTTCTGTATTGTTTGTAACGTGCTCTTTGGCCACTAGATGCCAATGTGTTTTCTCTGTGGTAGCAGAACTTGTCCCTAAGCTGCTGTACAGGTGACCACAGCATCTGTCAGGTGCCTGTGGAGTCCAGCATGTACAGTTCATGCTTGTGAACAGAACAAGGTGACCTTAAATGAAGGATAACATCCATTCTGGTTTGCATGTGATGGATACTTGCAGTGGATGAGTGGCCTCTTGCTTGTGGAATTGCAAGTTCCAGTGCAACTGATGAATGCCATAGCAGGTGGCCTTACTGCTGAGCATGTTCAGTGCAAATATAACCTTTAGCAAGGGCATCAATAAAATTCGTTTTTACACGTCACCTGTGTCATTTCAGAGTGGTTTGTGTGGGCTTTACAAGAAATACAGTTGGTATTTAAAGAGGAAGGTAAATTATGCCAATTGGATTGTGAATAGTGGGTGCCTTAGGGAGATAAATGTCTTTATGCAATTGGGATTGTAAGCTTGGGACTAAGTCACTGTCTGAAAAGCTAAAATTAATTACTTTCTTGGTAATTTTTCTTAGTGTTTCCCAAAAGGAGTGCTGAGCTCTTCCTAGAACCTCAGTGAAACTATCTTTAGGAATGCAGTTGGACCGTTTTTGTTTACTAGGTAGGGTTTTGGGGAGCAGACTAAGGGCTGTGCTTTAATTAAGAGAAATAACCTCTTCACCTTCCTGCTCCTCAAGTACCGATATTGTCCTTTGGCTTTGTAGCTTTGTTTTTTTTAAGTATCTTTTCTTGAAGTGATTCATGTTACTTGAGATCTTGAAAGGCTTCTTATATGCATAAGGGTGTCTGGCCCTTATGATAAGCTTTCTATATCAGTCTGAGGTGGCTGCAAGTTCCTATGGAATGAAAGATGAAGCAGGGAGCAACATTAGTGACATAACTTGGTAGGTGATGATATAAGGAGTTTTGGGGGGAGATGTGAGGTGTAGCTGTATGCTTCGGTTATAATAAATGTTGATGTTGAATCAGGTTCTGAAAGAATTTGAATGTGACAGTATCAACTGCAAAGTGAGAAGAAAGATGAGGCAGTCGTCGTTGTCTTAGACCTTGTCCTGGAAGAGGACAAGTGGGGGGCGGTAGGGGGAACAGGATAAGAAGAGGAAAAGCTGATGTTGTAGAGATGGAAACCATTGAGGGGATTTTTATCAGGGAGGGATGTAATGGGTAAAGAAACCAGAGAAATGCAGTTAAATGCACTGACTTAGGTGGCAGCAACTTTTGAGAAATGAAATGCAAGAAGTTAAAGGAAGGCTGGAAAGCCTAAGTTCTAGTTATTGGACTGGGATTCAGTAAATCTCCCAGATTAAGTCTCTGTTACAAAATGAGCGATAAAGAAGCATTTGTAAAAAAACTTGGAGTTGATTCTGGGCCCTTCTTTAAGTCGGCTGCAAAGAAGATGTCATAGAAGACAGACCAGGATGGAAGGAAGCAACCAGTGCAGAGACAGCAGCTAAGGCTTGTGTAGCTCTCTTGCCACCTTAGATATTTCATATAAGGATATTTTCAAGGAGCTGGTAATGGCTGTGATGGAAAACTGTTCTCTGCAACTTGCATTTTCGTAGGATGTATTTTTCTAAAAGATACCATTATCAGGTGTGGTTCAGTTACATTTTATTAGTAGCTGTTAGATCACATTGAGCTCAATGTATTTAATAAATAGAGTGTTTGAATTGTGGAACAAAAGTTGCATTCCTGAGGACACCTACCTGTGTTATTCATTGGAACAGTTTTGGGTGTTTTACAGGCTGCAAATATTTGGCAGACTTGTGAATGCCAGGATAGTGAGGCATAGCAGCACTTGGAAGTGGGTTTAGGTGAGAGGAACAGAAATTAATGTCTTTTTCTCAAGGTTAATACTTATTAAAATACAATTAACAGCAACAAAAAATCACACCAAAAAAACTGAGCTGTGACTTTTTTTTTTTAATAAACACATTGGGGTTTTTTCCTCTTGCACTGGCTGGCATATTGGACTCATTGCTGAAGCTAACTGGACTTACACCACCGTTTCTCTGAGGACAGGAGAGAAAATCTCTTTGAGGTCGGTTTCTAAGCTAGTAGCTAGAAAGACATGGACTTTTGTAAAGTTGCCATTTACAGAACCCACTTGAGAAAGTAATGGGCATCCTTACCAAATCTCTTGTCTATATTTACTACATAAGCTTCTCTATTTGACTAGAGGCTGTGCTATTAGGTCGTTGGAGAGCTCCTTAAAACTGTGAGAGTAAACATTTTGAGTTATAATGTGTTGAACTTCCCAAATACAACAGACTAGTTCTCTAGCTACAATGCCTGATTGATACTAAAGCTAAACTCCTGTTGTAGACTCAGTATTAATTTCTTCCTTTTGTAAAATGGTGGTCACACTTGCTTTCTCTTACTTTATAAAACAAATGGACAAGAGAGAATTTCTCAGAGAGGCTTAACTCTTAGGATGTGCATAGATACCACTTAGCGTCACATGGCAACTGCAATGCAAGTAAGTAATCCTCGATTACTGAGATTCTAGTTCACCTGTGCTGTCTTCTGTTAGAGGACAAATGCAGCCTTGTGACATTTGACTTGATCTTTACTTGTGCGTGTAAATCTAGCAGGCACCTGAAACTGCTACTGTTACGCTTGTCCTTTGTTCTGCCCTGCTGTGCTAAAGAAAGAGCTTTTGCTTTCGTATCAGGTGATGATGCAAGAAATTTAATAGTCAGAAAGTAACGCGTTGATTCTGTGGTGGATAAGGTTGGTGTTAAGATTTGACCTATTCCATATTTATTTAAATATTTCCTACCAGGAGGAAAAACAAGCGGAAGAACAGAATGTCCTAACAAGTATGCCATCCTGGATTTGCTCAGAGAGTTTAAGCTCAGACTCAATTAATGAATCCGTTCCAAACTGAAAAAGCAAGTAGTATATTCATATGGAAATAAGCAGCCTATGCCTACAGCTTTACTCTTTCTATTGGACTCAAGCTGAAACCAGCTTAAATAACCAAAGTAAAATGGTACAAGGATAGAGCTTAAGCCTGACTGGAATGTCTTCCAAATTTGCAGCCAAATAAGGAGGAGGGAGATGAAGTTTTCAGGAAGTTAAATCTGTCCCCTTTGCCTTCAGTTCACACCCACTCCCAAAACAACATAGCTGCTCTCATGGGATGCATGATGTTCTCTCTTGGTTTACTCTTTTGAGCCAAAATTTATTTTTAATTATCGTCATGTGATTCAATGCAAGGAGAAAGCTTGGGGATGTGGGGGCAAAGGAGCGTAACCTTCCAATAACCTGTAATAAGGAAAGGGGAGTGATTTGAGAATGTGCCCTTCCCACACATTGCAGTTTGTCTTGCTTAATGACTTTCAGTACAAGAGGATCTGGACAAACAGGAAGCCCTGTCAGCATCCTTAAAGCACCCAGAAGGAAGCTGCAAGGGCACGGCCACAAGACTCCGGATAGTTCATTTTTCTTTCTCAGGGTTTCATGTGGTCCTGAATCCAGTCAAGATAACGATTCACATTTGTATAAACGCCAGGTATGTCTTTGCGGCCACAGCCTATTCCCCAGCTGATGATTCCAATTAGATACATACGATCGTCCTTCATACAGACCAGGGGCCCTCCAGAGTCACCCTACAGAGAAGTAGCAGGTTAGTATCAATCTCCTTTGTTCGTTTGTTTTTGTGTTGTTTTCCCCTCCCCACTGATTTTAGTGGTGCGCTAGTGTCTATGGAAATACAAACCAAGAGATTTTAGTAACAGCGCTTTTCAGGTAAGCCACTTCTGTGTTCCAGACTCCCTCAATGCTCCTCTCATGGGGAGAGACCCAAAAAAATCTAACAAACACTAAAGCATCTAACTTTGTATGACACTGATTTATGAAATGTAGGTGAGATGTTGACAGGAATAAAAAGAGGAATGGTCTTACTCAAGCTATAAAGATCCAGGGTGTTTTATACTGCTATGTGTAACAGTAAAGCAAAATTATTAAAGAGCTGTTTAAATGGAAAGGGTGTGGATTGAATGCATGCCCTCCTTTTTCCTCATGTTACAGCTGCTGGTTCTCCACTATCGTTTGGCCTTTATTCTTTTCTCCACTTTTTAGTAGCACCCCCTTCCTCTTACAGGACCTCCTGCTGGGTGTTCTGCATGCTCATAC